TGTTCATGGTCCCTGCAGTGAGAGCTAAGGACACCTCAGCGCCCCCGCCCAAGGAGGACAGGCAGAGTCCCAGAGCGGAAACTGAAGCAGCTGGATGGAGACGAGAGAGAAACTTTTAAAACAGCAAAGATGAAAAACAACTCATATTCTGGCTTCCTGAAACAGGTGTGAGGACCCTCCCCCAAAACTGGTCTGGAAACGCCTCACACCCAGCTGAGGGGCTGGGCTGGGACTCAAGTCCCATCCAGAGTTCCACGCAGAATTAGAGAAGAGTGACCCATGACTGGCATACACGCTGGACTAAACTGCCTCTGCAAATGATGATAATGAAGGTTACGCAAGTAAAAATCCCATTTGATTTACTGGGGAGAAAAATTCAACCCTTCCTGGAAATTGAGGAAAATATAGTGTTCTTAACAGCTTAGCAATAAAAACAATATTTACAATGATTAAATTCCTTTGGCAAGTATTTACCAACTAAAAAAGCATGAACAACATAAAAGAATACTTGACATGAAACATTTTGGTGAGACATCTACCCACCTCTGATGGGGCATCTCAGTTCATAACTTAGGGAAGGGCAGTCCTTGGGAGCAGTTGGCTGATGGGCAGGATGGCATCCTACCCATGCGTGAAGCCAGGGCTCCAAGCCTGCTGCAACCAACTAGGAAGCAGAGAAGGATTTCCTAGGGACAACATGGCGCAGCACATTGGGGGTTGGCAGTCGGGCTGGTGGTGCGGGGAGGGAGATGTTATGCACACAAAGATGGGGCTGGCACGGGCCATCTTGGCCTGTCAGTCATGTCCATGCCAGGGGTAGCTGCTAATAGCTAGGTGTTTCAAAAGATGTAGTGCAGCACCCAGCCACACAGATGACCGGGCCGAGGGCACCGTAGTCAGCCTGGAGTCCAGCAACACATGACCTGCACTATGGCAGACAAGACACATTGAGCCAGGTCCCAGTGAGCAATGGGCTCCTGACCTCTTCCCTCCAACAACACAGTTTCTCCCAAATTATTCTGCAAGGTGAGTGTTACCTACCCTAAAAGTTACACCTGTCTGCTCAGTCAACAGCTAAGTACCAAGCACCAGACAAGACCAGTGGCTAGTGGCTACCAGGCTGGATGTACAGATAGCAAGCACTTCCATCATCACATAAAGTTCTACAGGACAACATGAGACCAGACACAGTGACTACAGAAAGAAGAGCACAGGAGACTTGGAGAGTTCTGCCCTCCTGAAACCCATGATGTAGGCACAATAAGCTTTCATCAGATAAGCAACATCAACAATCACATTTATAAGAAGTACTAAGCAGAGAACTCCAACGTGACCCCAAGGAGTCAGCGCTGGGAACGTTTTGCTTACAAAACAGGCATATTCGCTGAAATAGAAGCGTTTCTATTCCCCTAAAGAGCAAGAGGTTCTGACTAGAGACAGACAGTAGGCTCACAGACTTGAGAGATGCCTGGAGTTTGAAAGCACAGTTCCTCTGACAATTCACAGCAGCATGAGGTCACCAGTTAAGCATTTCTGATCATTTTAACAGGCTGATTCCCATCGAACACTGACAAGGAAACAGTAACTCAGTTAGGTCAAGACTTCATGGGAGCCAGCATTGTTTTGTCATGACTGTGGAATGCCTGAAGCAGATAACTTGAGCATCTGATGGGTCTTGTCATGGTTCAGGCTGCCCAGAAACTACAGGATCAAGGCTGTTTGTGCGAATGTCATGGGCAGGGGGCCTCGGCAGTCACACAGGCAGAGCTGCTGGGTGGAGACGTACCCCAAGCCCACTCCTTGGGAGCTCCGAACTTTTTCCTCACTCTTCGTCCCCTGGAGTGAGTGTCACACTCCTTTATTTGCGTGAGAGCAAGGGAAAGTGCTAAAGAGCTACAGGAATGATTTTGAAGGGCTGGATCTAAAAACCAAATAGACATAAAAAGCAAATAATGGCTCCAGAGGTTGGTGGAAAGGGAAACTTACATAAATTAGGCTCTCTGCTCTCCAAAACCAGGAGAGAGAGCTGGTTTAGAGCTCAGCTCAGGTAGCCGAGCTCTAAACATGGCAGTGTAGCTCTGCATGGACACCATCAAAGCTGGGCAGGTGAGCCAAGAACAGACCATGGAGACCCTGCAGGAAGCCCATCAGCGGGTATTTTAAATCCAAGTTGTCCATAGCTAATCTATACCGCACAGACTTGAATGAACTCTTGGGATCCTACCCTCAAGCTGTGGCGAGAGACAGGCAAGTTCCATCCTAGAGTGTTTTAGGCACAAACCACCATTGACTACACCCAGGAACGAGGATCAAACCAGGAAGGAGAGCAGCTGCTTTCATTCTGCAATTAGAAACAGCGCACAGAGCATGCAATCCACACAGGCTAGGGAACCACCAGGTGGCTTCTTGCCGAGAACAAGGACTATGAGCTGCCCCGTCGACTCAGGCTGTCATCATTGGGGCCATCTCTTCCAGAAGGCATTTGATGTCAGGTAATGTGGACCCTGTGTGGCTGAATCCCAAACACAATCCTCATAATCTAGGCAATGCAGTACACATCTGTGCAAAGCGCCATATATGCAGATGTTCCCTCATCTAAAACTTCCTCTGCAAGATTTCAAAGTGCTCCTCTGACAACCACTGACAACCTGATTTCCTCTGGAAATCAGGACGGTCTATAGTAGCAGACATGGGTGGACATTTCTGAAAGAACATAGGAGAAAAATATCAGACAGAAAAATGCAGAGCAGTCAAGACTGATTTTACTGACATGTAGCCACAGAGTACAGCTGGGGCTTCTAAGCCTGAGAAATAGTGCTTAGCTTTCTCTTGGTTTAAATTTTTTGAAAAATCTCTCACACTCTCGACTGAGGAAATTCAGGTTTACTGCCTGCAGAGAAAAGCTATGACCTGCTTCTCAGGTTGCAGAGTGGTCTGAAGGTAGTACATGAGGCTTTGCAAGGGAGAAGCTGAACCATTATTCATCCTTTCACTGAGGTTGATGGGAGCCTATAGTTTCTCTTACATGCTTTAGCCTACAACCTAGCAGATTCTCAAGGAGGAAGGAAGGAAGGTGCTTACTGAAACTCAGGACTGGTCATCTCGAGAAAAAACAGACCACATAAACAGAGCCCTCAAGTCAAAGCCTTCTCTGCTTCTCTAGGTTTTTTTTGCCCAGAAAGAAAACACCCCTCTAATATTAAAGATCAGAGATTCTTACTGAGCTAAGTGAGTGGTGTTACAGGTACTAGCACTGACCCCCATCATCATCACGGCTCCTCTCATGAGTGTCTCTGTGAGGCCGGCACTTAGACAACTGCTCACAGTGATTCTCTATTTGTCCCGAGGCCACAGAGACCCTGAAATCACCTGGGTGGACATTTGGGAAAGGAATGTCCTATCCTTCCCAGGTGGTTCAGTGGTAAAGAATCTGCCTGCCAATGCAGGAGATGCAAGAGACTTGGGTTTGATCCCTGGAGGAGGGCATGGCAACCCACTCCAGTATTCTTGCCTGGAGAATCCCTTGGACAGAGGAGCCTGGCAGCCTACAGTCCATGGGGTTGCAGAGAGTCAGACATAATTGTTAGACTGAGACTGAGCACAGACCTCTGTGTGTGTGTGTGTGTGTGTGTGTGACCACTGGGAACGTCTGGCCAAGACTGTCACATCTCATTCAGTCTTCACCAGATCCTAGACAGCAGGATTATTCACCTCATTTGACAAAGAGGCAAAGACCCTGCCTCCAGGCCACAGAGGACAGGGATCTGGCCTTCCGGAGAAGCACGAAGAAAGCCATGCGCTGGCCTGTGGGCTACCTTGAGGCCCACAGCACAATAGGAAGTGGTGGAAACTTTCACCAAATATGGAGTAGCCCATACTATTGAAATGGCTGGGGGGAAGACTCCATCAGGAATTAAGGCCAATATTTACATCTGCACGCTGGACCCCAAGCATAATCTAAACCCGTCTGTGAGTCTGGCACTCTCCCTGAACCTAGCGGACACACCACCTCTCTTGCCCCTTAACACCAGCCCCTGCTGCCAGCCCACCACCCACATCACCACAACTAGCACTGTAAGCCCCATGCACGCGCCTGGCATCATCTACAGTGGAGCTGGGTTGACAGGGGAGGAGGAGCAGCAGGGAGGAAGTTGTGGGGCCGAGCACCTGTGCTACCCATCAAGAAACTCTTTGAGGCTTTTCCTAAGTATGAGTTACCTGAGGGACTCTACACACCACTGTTTGGTTTGTTAGGAAATGATTGAGAAGCAGTTGGAAATAAATCTGTGCAGGAGACATTGAAGTCATGCAAAGGACACAGCCTGGAAATGCATGTTAAACACCTTTGGTTACATTTGATAAAGAGCAACTGATAAAGTCTCACACTTCTAAGACCAATCAGTCAAATGGAAAATTTCAAAGCAGTGTTATTTATATTAATATTAACCTGACAAGTAGCCAACTCAGATCTTCCTGGAGACTTACTCACCCACACTACAGTTCAAAACACACATCTGACACCAAAGGATATGGCCCCGGTAGCTGGTATTCAGTCTGTTATGCAGGCTGCATGAGGACTGAGTCCTACTCTGGAGAAGGCAGGTCAGAGCCTTCCTTGCTGACCACCTTGGATTCACCTGAACACGGGGCTGGCAGTTCTGCCCTGCTCACGGTACACAGTCACAGGATGACCGGGTTGCTTAGGACACGAAAACACTCAGCAAGGTGGAAAGCATGGCCTTATTTGGGTATTTCTAGCTGACATTCATCAGAGGCACAGGAACTGCTGGTCTAATTCAAAATGATTCAAACTTCACTTGCTTCTAGAAAAGTTTTAGTCATCATTTGGGAAGTTTCAAAAGCTCCTAACTTCAAATGCTTTGTGATAACAATAGGCCCAGATGCATCCCATGTCATTCTTAAGACAACTAGGCCAAAATGGCGGCTAAAACATCAAGGAGCTACTTGGCCCCAACTACAAGCAGTGGAACCATAATTACCTGTTTCTCCCCACAGCGTGTCGGTGCCATTGACGTCTATTTCATGTTCCTTTTCCAGTCCCAGCAAGCACTGGAGCACCTGTCAGAAGTGGCAAGGTGATTTAATGAGTTTTCAAAGCCATATGCGCTTATTATATCCTGTGTATCAAAGGAGAGAACGTGTTGTTTTTTAACCATGATTATCTCATGCTGCACAAGGAGAGAGAATATAATGAAAATGGTTTTCCAGCATAATTCGTATGCTATCCACACTTTCACTTTGAGAAGAAGAAGAAAAAAAAAAGTGAATTTCGGCAACACTGTTCAGCATTACTAGGTACTCAGAATTCTAATGAATTCCAGCATGACCCAAATATGCCAGCCTCATCAACAAAGGACAGGGGAGATCATACAGAGTGCAGCTTCTGCATAAATCGCCAGAAGATGGTGAATCCCTTTTTTCGCAAGGAAGGAAAACAAGGTGATGTATATACCTTTTCAATAAAATAATGCTGCTTCTAATGCTTTTTCCACTCACATTATTCTTCTCCCTCTGTCAAACAGCAGGGTGCGTCACAGGGGTGGGGGCAGGGAGCCAGAAGTATCTGAGCCCTTAACCAGAGTCAGCATCCACCCTGCTCACTGGCAGCCAAGGAGAGCAGAAGACCTACCACCTTCCAGGCTCCCAGTCCACTCACAGTGAGGGCCCCACATCCTAGTCAGAAAACCCGTGAATGTTACCTTACGTGGGGAGAGAGGGTTTGCAGATGTGACTGCGAATCTTGAAATGGGATGATGATCCTGCATTATCACGGTGTGTATCGTATAGAAACTCGATACGATCACAGCTGTTTGTAAGAAGGACAGGAGGAACCAGGGTCAAGGGAAGGATGAGGTGAGGTGACAGGAAACACACTCTGAAGACAGAGGCAGGGCCACAAGCTAAGGAGTAAAGTGGCTTCTAGAAGCTAGAGAAAAAAAAAAAAGAGAAACACTCTACTCTGAAGCCTCCAAGAGAAACATCGGCTTCCTGACCCAACCTAATTTCAGCCTTCTGACCTCCAGAACAGGCTGCTTCAAGCCACTGAAGTCTGTGGTCACTTACTACAGCAGCATGTGGGAACTAACACAACCCTCAAGCCTTCTGGTGAGTGAGCCCTGTCCTTCGCCACGAAGCTGTGGCTGGCTATGCAGCTGCTCCTCCACAGCTCCTCACAGCCAGTTTCACAACAGCCAGAGGCCGAGGTTATATTCAACGTGGCTTTCCTGTCCTTCCTAAGATGACATTTCACCTTCTGGACCCATGCAGATTTAGGGAACAGTTTAAAAAGGAAAAACATCCACATTCAAATATGTCGATTTAACATGTTCTCTCTGTATGTATGTAAATGGGTCTTTAAAAACATTTGTATTTTTAATCTAAAAAACAATAAACCCACTATATGGTCATGTTTAATACATTTTTATGAAATGTGCATTTTCATTTTTTATGAAAAAGAGTATTTTTCTCCAAAACTTAAACAACTTGACTAGCATTGTTTTACATTTCTATAAATTTCTTTTATGTCTGTCCTAAAAGAAGATAGCTTCTTTTTCTTATATGCTTCTGTATTCTTGCTGCAATATATTGTCTTAGTTGAAGCAGTGTATATGTATATTTTTGACATTTTAAATGCCAACAATAAGCCAGCTAGCTGCGTGTATATGTGTATCTGCTCCAGTGTTTTAAACAGTAAAAGTCAGCCAGCCAGCTTTGTACCCAAATTTACTTTGGTACATTTACATTTTACATTTGGTACATTTACACTTGGCACATTTACTTTGGTACAAAGTTACTGTGGGGAAGAATCTTAGAAACATTGGCAACCCTAATTGCCTGAAGACAATACAGAGTGAGAAATACATGGAAGAAAAAGAGTAAAATATTATTAACTTCAAAGACACATGGGTCAGGAGGTGACAACAAAATCTTCAAATCGAGGAATACTGACACCTGCCAGAAATAAGTGCTTGATGTAACTACTGCATGAAGCTTCAGTGCAGGAACTGTAAATGCCAAGCATTCTTACATGCTACCAGAACATGTTCTATTTTAAACAACTCTATTTTTAAAAATCCTTCGAATACTCAAGAACAAGTTTAGAAACAGGATTCCATGTGATTACTGTTAAAAGACCACAAGGACAAAAGGATGAATCAAAGGGGGAAAAGGAGAGGAGAGCAGGACTCGAGGGTGAAAACAGAACAAGGAAGGAAGACAGGAAGAAAGGAGGCAGAGCAGAGAGTATGCAGCCTGCAGGGTCTCCGGGTGGGAGCTCCCCAGCCCCCCCGCCCACTTCCACTCACAGGAGGGGTGTGATAACAACAGGACATCTTTACACATGGTGAAACCAACTGCTCTTTTTAGAACCCCTCATTTCCTTTCATTCCTTCTGTGCATCACAAGCCGGCAACTTGGAAGAAGGTGAGTGCGCAGTGCCCACCCACTGGGCTCCCGTTTTCCCAGAAGTGCCCTGGGAAAGGCCGCACTCACCGCGCTGTGGCCCATGCTGGCGGCCGCGGTCAGTGCCTGCTGCAAGGCTTGGCTCTTCCTCAGCGCGCCTGGCTGGGCCGGGCCCAACGACCACTCGCAGGTCAGCAGGTAGCGGAGAACGTCGCCGTGGCCCCTCAGTGCACTGTGGACCAGCGCGCACTGGCCTTTCTTATCCAAGTGGTCCACCTGGGGTGGGGGGCGGCAGGAGCAAGGGAAGGCACAGCTGAGCATCACTTTGTCACAGTGACCCACATGTGCTGTGGACAAACTCCATCCCACCGCAGATGTACGGGGTTCGTGTCCCACTGTGTGTCTCTGGAGAGTCTCTGTCTGAATTACTGCAATTGATGCACTGTTCCAGGCCTCGAGTTCCCTCTGTAGATCTAGTGATCACAAGGCATCCTCCTCGTTCCCTTTGTCTCTCTAGGAAGTGATCTGGAGCTTCGAGTTCTCTGGGGAGCAGGTATGAGGGCAGACAAAACCTGTTCTTCCCAACCCTAGTCACTTGGGTGAAGTATCCTTAATCTTAATCTTCTGTGGCAAGCTATGATTTGGGGGGCAGAACAGTTCTTTAGTCACTGAAACAGGAAAGCCAGCAAAAGGGAGGGATCTGGAAAGATCCCAGCTCTGTACGAGGAAGGGCAGGAAGGGACTCCAAGTGGCATTTTATTGGGGAAGGCAGGTGACCCACGTCATGCCAGCATGCCAAGTGTGGCCACAAAGGCAGGAAGGCTGGTCAGCCACGAAGGGGCAGTGACCAAGGACTGCATACCCATAATGGTCCAAGAGGAAGCAGATAACACGTCATTCCCTAAGCCTGGGAATCGTGGGCTGGGAGAGGACTTAGGGCCCAGCCTCACTTGCAAATTCTGAAGATGCTCTGCACCTCAACCCAGAGGCTCTGCCTACATGAGCCACCTATATGATTCCACCCCCGCCTACAGAGCTCTCAGGTAGCCTCTGAAAAAAGCCAAGCCATGGTCTGGAGGTGGAAATGGAGGGGCGGTATGAGCAGTAATGAACCTACTGCGAAGGTTTAACAGAAGCATTTCCCTTCTTTCATGGACTAAGGACGACCCATCCCAAATGCTGTGTTTTCAAGAGAGAAAAGCAAAAAGACTCCCATAGTTACTATAAGTCTAACGTCTTTTGTTGAACTTCAAAAAGCCTAACTATAAAGAAGAAAAACAAATACCAGCGATTTATTTCTGTTGCTGTTCAAAAGTACATTCTCCCTTCCCCAATAAAGTGCTTAAAATAAACAGAGTTTACTGTAAACTTGGCACTGTTCTCATCCAACCTATTAACACTGACAGTCCTTGAGCAACTTGTTAATAATACAGTTACTTTGCGCTGTTTTAATATATGGATTTACTTATGCTCACACAACAGCCCTGTGGTAGATCCTGCTGTTGCGCCCATTTTATGGATGAGAACACAGCACACTGCCTTAACTGGCCCAGGGTCCCAGATGGCAGCTGGAGAAACATGGATTCGGGGCCTTCTAGTACCTGCTGCTATATGCTGAAGCACATGACTTCCAAGACCCACAGAACTCATTTTATTATTTTTAAAAAGATATAACATGAAATAAAAAGGAGGAAAAAAAACCCACATTTAAATCTTCAACTCATCCAGTGCAGAGTTAAATTCTGTGACAAGTTCTAGGGCAACACTTGCAGGCTTTTTAAAGGATGGCCTTACTTGGGCCTGTAATGACCAGGAGCCTCCCCTCGGGCAGGATTAAGCAGAATAAAAGCTTTGAACCAAACACACAGCCCCTTCTCCCTCTCGCAGACAATACACATCTATCACACACATACCCACATCAAGCCACATCACACACTGTAGCTCCACCCTTTCTGTTTATGTTCATTGAACCCTGACAAAGTAGAGGCAGAAGGGAGCCTGGCCTGGCCAATGAGAATTCTACCAGGAATGGGAGACACTTCCCACCTTTGTGGCCCCCTTCACCCCTCTGCGGGGAAGGCTGTGGCTTACCCTCGCCCCCTTCTTGGTGAGCAGACACACCAGCTTCATGTGGCCTGCAGCGGCCGCGTAGCAGAGGGCAGTCATGCCGTTCTCCGACATGCCATCCAGGCAGGCGCCGAATTCCAGAAGCAGAGTGACCACTTCCTCATGGCCAAGGTGAGACTGGACGCATAGGATAGGGGCGTTATTTAACACTTCGGTCCTGTAGTTCACGTTGGCCCCTCCTAAAATCAGGAGACGGCTCACCTGTTGGGAGAATGTCCCCCAACAAGATTAATTTCTCATGAAGTTGGTGATCATAACAAGGTTTGTGGAGAAGGGTGGTATCCTTAGTCCAGTGGTTCTCAAACATGAGCGTGCACTAGTATGACCTACACATACACTAAAGATGCACATCCTCGCTGGTGAGAATGCAAAATGGCACAGCTGCCTCGGGAAACAGTGTGGAGGTTTCTCAGGATCCAGCAATCCCACTCTGGGTACACGTCCAGAGGAAATGAGATCAGAGTCTCAATGAGATACCCACACTGCCGTGTTATGGAAGCACTATTCACAATAGCTAAGAGTTGCAGGCAAACTAAAAGGTCATCAGATGAATGGACAAACAAAAGTGGTATGTACATACATTGGAATAGCACTCAGCTTTCAAAAGGAAGGAAATCCTGCCCATGTAACAACACAGATGAACCCTGAGAACACTGCTCACTCAATCATGTCTGACTCTCCATGACTCCACGGACTATAGCCCACCAGGCTCCTCTGTCCATGGAATTTTCCAGGCGAGAATATTGGAGTGGGAGCCATCTCCTGCTCCAGGGGATCTTCCAGACCCAGAGATCAAACCTGCATCTCCTGCATTGGCAGGCAGATTCTTTACCACTGAGCCACCAGGGAAGCTATTGAGAACATTAGGTCAAAAGAAATAAGCCAACCATAAAGAGACGAATGCTATATGAATTCACTAATATAAGGGACATAGAAGAGTCAAATTCACAAAGACAGAAAGTAGAATGGTGGCTTCCAGGGCCTGGGAGAAGGCGGGGGGAACAAGACCTGTTTAATAGGTGTGGAGATTTAGTTTTATTGTGGAGTTTTATTACTGCACAATAACATGAATATATTTAACACTACTGATTTCTACCTTTAAGAATAGTTAAGATGATACATTTTATGATGTGGGTTTTTTTAATCACAATGAAACAAAAATTTAGAAACGTCTATTCTCTGGACTCAAACCTCTGGATTCAGTAGGTCTGGTGGGGGTGGGAGTATGGTCTAAGTATATGCCTGTTTACTGAATGCCCCCTAGGTGATACAGATGCTGTTGGTCTGGGGATCATGTTTTGAAAACCACTGTGTGATCCAAATAAAAACAGAAAATTCATTTTGGGGGACAATGAAATAATCATCAGAGGATTAAATAATTAACAGTGAGATAATAAAGCCAAAAATAAGAGCATACATTTTTTTCTCTACAAGGAATTGTACCTGCAAGAAAAAGCAGAACACTTAAAAATGCTCACATGCTTGGGACTGTCAGCAGCACAAAACTCCTAGAAAAGTATCTGCTTTTCTGACTGCTACACAACTACCACCCACAGAATGCCTTGGATCCAGATATAAAAGGAAATTCGTTATCTATAGGTTTTAAAATAAAATCATTGAATACTTTATGTGAATTATAGCTATACTAGTATTTTCTTCAAATCTCCAGGTCATTGGAAAAATGACGCTCCATGAACACCTATTAAGACGCCCACTGTGTTTCTTCGAACAGTCCCCTTCAATGGTCTTGATCACATCAATCACCCCCTGACAGATTCTGGCCACCTCTGGCTGCCCATTAGGAACGAAAACCACAGAGACTGCGTCTCTTATCTGACCAGAGACACATGGGATCATTAGAGGATACAGAGAGATCAAGTAATATAAAATCTGAGGCATTTCAATGAAACACTGCCCACAAAAGTAGCTAACAGAATATTTGCAAAGTGATAAATTATTATTCTGGTGGTGACACCACACCTTGGAACAGTGATACCATACAGACTCGTTAGAACCCAGAGCGTAAAACCTGCAGACTCACTGGCTGCCGCTGAAGCCTGAGCCCCGGGTGACCCAGCCCTTCAGCTGCTTCTCTGAGCTCCTCTACCAGCACTCTTCCCCTCACTTACCCACCACCCCCCGCCCCGCAAAGGTGACCACACTGGGTCTAATGCTTGTCCCATAACAAGGGCAGGCAGGTCCCACCTCTGGGGCTTCCCCTCTCTCCCATATAGTTCTCTCTGCCAGGAATAAATACCCTTTCCATAGATACACACGACAAAGGATCACTTCCACTGTGCCTGCTTCAACGCCAGGACACCGGGGAGAAGTCCCCCCACTCCATACAGAATGCTCCCAGCCCTCCTCTATGTACACACCCCACATCATCCACACACACCAACCCTGAGCGCCGCCGTCTACTCCACACGCTCCATTTCCCATTGGGCCTATGGCACAAGTACTTGTTCTAAGACACAGAAGTTCACAGATAAGAGAGGTAAACGAAGCCCCTCTGAGTAAGGATGGCCCACAAGTCAGTTCCTTCCCATATGAGGACCATCACTTATAATTAAGGAAGGACCTCTTAAAGTGGGGGGTTCAGTTCACTCAGTCATGTCAGACTCTTTGTGACCCCATGAATCGCAGCACGCCAGGCCTCCCTGTCCATCACAAACTCCCGGAGTCTACTCAAACTCATGCCCATCGAGTCGGTGATGCCATCCAGCCATCTCATCCTCTGTCGCCCCCTTCTCCTCCTGTCCCCAATCCCTCCCAGCATCAGGGTCTTTTCCAGTGAGTCAACTCTTCACATGAGGTGGGCAAAGTATTGGAGTTTCAGCTTCAAAATCAGTCCTTCCAATGAACACCCAGGACTGATCTCCTTTAGGATGGACTGGCTGGATCTCCTTGCAGTCCAAGGGACTCTCAAGAGTCTTCTCCAACACCACAGTTCAAAAGCATCAATTTTTCGGTGCTCAGCTTTCTTCACAGTCCAAATCTCACATCCATGCATGACCTCTGGAAAAACCATAGCCTTGACCGGATGGACCTTTGTTGGCAGAGTAATGTCTCTGCTTTTTAATATGCTATCTAGGTTGGTCATAACTTTCCTTCCAAGGAGTAAGCACCTTTTAATTTCATGGCTGCAGTCAGCATCTGCAGTGATTTTGGAGCTGAAAAAAATAAAGTCTGACACTGTTTCCACTGTCTCCCCATCTAGTTTTCATGAGGTGATGAAACCAGATACTATGATCTTAGTTTTCTGAAGTAGGGGGAGGGGGAGATAAATTAGGAATCTGGGGTTAGCAGATATAGTTACTATATATAAAACAGATCAACAACAAGACCTGTACTGCAAAGCACAGGGAACTACACTCGATATTTTGTAACAACCTGTGTGTGTGTGTGTGTGTGTGTGTGTGTGTGTGTGTGTGTGTGTGTACTGAACCACACAGGGAATTACATTCGATATTTTGTAACAACCTGTAAGGGAGAAGAATCTAAAAAAGAAAGTGTGCATGCGTGCGTGCCTGCATGTGTGTGTGTGTGTGTGTGTGTGTCAACTGAACCACTCTGCTGTGCGTCTGAAACTAACACAACAGTATAAATCAACAATACTTCCAAAAAAGAAAAAAAAGGAAGCACAGTTGTGCCCAAGTGACTAGACCCACCTCATCCTTAAATCAACACTACTTCCAAAAAAAAAAAAGGAAGCACAGTTGTGCCCAAGTGACTAGACCCACCTCATCCTTCACAGAGTCACAGGGGAACCATCTTCCAACCTCACCAGGTCAAGACCAACCCAGCCCCCAGCTGCCAACTAGCACATGTGGACGCAAGGGCAGAAAGTCAGAGAGGAGAAATCAGGAGAGGTGTCCCTGTCCCCATAGTGACACGGGACACAACCTCGGGCAAACCCATCCCCACCAAGCTTGCTTTACAGCCCTAAATCGGTTTGCTCCTCAAAACAGCACCAGACTCAAGCAGGACTTTAAAGCATTTCAAAAGGGTAAGTGCCCAACAAAAGTCAGGGCTTTTGAGAAAATGACTTCCCTCTGAGTAACTGCCAACAGTATGGCAGCGATAGGACAATGCTGCTGGCACAGTAGGGGTTTTATCGAGGCCCAAGGAATGAGTTCTTAGGCAAGAGGAATACAGAGCAGAACCCCAACAGCTTTTCAAAATTTTCAAAACACACACACCAGGGACTTCCTTGGTGGTCTAATGGTTAAGAATCGTCTTCCAATGCAGGGGGCTGGGTTCGATCTCTGGTCGGAGAACTAAGATCCTGCAAGCTGGGCGGGGGGCAGAGCGGACTAAACCCACCTGCAACTACTGAGCCCGGGCATCACAGCTAGAGAGAAGCCTGCACACAATAAGGAAGAGCCACACACCGCTGCAACTAAGATCCGATGCAGCCAAAATAAACAAGTAAATATTAAAAAAAAGACTAAAGAGGGGGCATCATTTACCAGCATTACAGAAATAAAGAAGATTTTAAAAAAACACACACTTAATATCACCGATGGGCACACTGGACTCTGGTCACCAAAGGGCAGGTAGAAACTGCTTGCATTTAAATTCACAGGGTGACTTTGACTGCCAGTTACCCTCTCTCTCCCCTCCCCCATTAATCCCATCCCCTCTTGAGATTCATGAGCCTAAAAGAAAAATATGATGGATTAAACAGTCTGAGCTCTCAATCAGCCTCTTAACTAACTTGCTGTGTGATTTTCAGAAAATCACTCAACCTCTCTGTGATTCAGGTGCTGTGTCTTAAGGAAATGACAGTACACCACCCCATTCTACTGTACAGAAACTTTCTTCTAAGAACGTTGAAAGGTGTTGCTTCAGTAATGTCTTGCATAATACTATATAAGAAAAGTCTATGGAAGGTCTGTGCACAGAAGCAGAACTTTCCTAAAGGATTTGTTACCAATTCTCTATATGCTTCTTGGGAAAAACATTTCCTTTGTTGGTGCGATGCTGTGGGTATTTTTACCACTTACCCCACTAAGCAGTCTGTGATCTTCTCCAAACCCACACTTCTTAACCCTGCTGCTCGGTGAAACCACCAGGGAGCTTGCAAGTTTCCAAAGCGCCAGCCCCACCCTTGGAGATTCTAACTAGGCTGGGGCCCAGGGCTCCCAGATGGTTCCCGCTGGCAGCCACGGCTGTAAACACACCAGGTGAGGAGCGCACCTGTGGAGGGGGCGTGGGCTTGCTCTCTGCCAGGCGCTCTTCCCGCTGTGGGATTTGGGCACCTATCACTGCCCTCACCCGAAAGGTGGAAATAAAGACAGTTTCACTTCCTTGGGTTGTTGTGAAGATTAAAAATGAACATGCCACACACACAAAGCACTTAGCACAGCCCTGAGCTCCCTATAAGTGCTAAATAAATATTACTTGCTATTGTTATAATCACCTTTGAAGGGGGAAAATCAAGTGAAAGTGTTAGTCTCTTAATGTCCGACTCTGAGACCCTGTGGACTGTAGCCCGCCAGGCTCCTCTGTCCCTGGGATTCTCCAGGCAAGAATACTGGAGTGGGTTGCCATTTCCTGCTCCAGGGGATCTTCCCAACCCAGGGATCGAACCCAGGGATCCTGTACTGTAGGCAGATTCTTTACCATCTGAGCAACCAGGGAAGATTAGTGGATCTTTTTTTTTTTTTCTCATTTATTTTTATTAGTTGGAGGCTAATTACTTTACAATGTTGTAGTGGTTTTTGCCATACATTGACATGAATCAGCCATGGATTTACATGTGTTCCCCATCCTGATCCCCCCTCCCACCTCCCTCCCCATCCCATCCCTCTGAGTCTTCCAAGAGACAAGGTTCCCAGTCTCTGACCCTCAGAAGGCACAGGAGGGCACTCTGCCCCAGAAACCAGGTGACCCCGAGGGCTTGCCCCGCTGCCCCCACCACGCCAGGGTGGGGGCAGCTCATCTGCATAGGGCAGCAAGGAGACCTCCCGCTTATCTGAGGGCAGGTGTGGACCTGTCATAGCCTGTGGGCAGCTCCCCTTCACCTCCACCACCAGGCACATTCACAAGTTCTCAAGTGCTTACAGGAGAATCTCAGTGTCCAGAAAGAAGGCGAAAGATGACTAAAACTAACTCACCTGACCATATAATAAATGCCAAGTCTTCCCCCAAGAGCTTCAACGTCTCAGTGAGGTGTGCCTTCACTCTACGATGCAGGCTCTTTAGTGACCTTCACTTCACAGGTGAGAAAACCGAGGCTCAGAGCAGGTAAGGCAGAGATTAGCCCCGGGCACAACACTACTATCCTATCACAGTCCAGCAGCTGAAGCAGCAGCTCTGGCTAAGATTACTCGGCATCCGGGGAAGGGGAAAAAGGGTTCTTCCTGTATATTTTTTCCCAACCACATGGAAGTCTTCTGGTTACCACCACCATGAAGCTCTTCCTTTAACAACTGGAAATGGCGATATTACCTATACACACCTCTGGATTGGATGAATGCAAGAAAATGAAAAAGGGGGTAGGGTGGTAGGTAAAATGATGTGATCATGAGGAACAGAAGAGGTACTGCCCAGCATGTAGTAAAGTGGGAGGCTCAGTTTTCCCATCAGAGGCTTTCATCAGTACAACCGGTGTAAATGCGTGCTTCCTAATAAATATGCAAAACACAACTGCATCCTTTCAGCCAGGGAAATTAGGCCAAGGTCCACACCTAACTCCTATCTCCTCCCCTCCCTGCCTCCAGCTGCAAGAAGAATCACAATCTTAATTCCCTGGAGCCCACAGCCTTAGGAAGCCTGTGGCTGGCAGGCAGTCCAATGGGATTATGTGAGCAAAACAACCAACTGGACCGAAGCCTGGGGGCCCTGGTGGCCAGGACCCCAGAGGGCCAGCCAGAGCCCAGGCTGGCATGAGCCTGGCTTGGCTATGGTAGATCACATTGTTAGAAATCACGGGCATGCCACCAAAATTAAAATTCAACTACCAAGTAATTACTCCAGAGCAAGTAGCTTTAATTTACCAAAGTGGCAAACTGCAATTATTGCTCAAAATGACATCCTTTCCTGTATGACAACATTTAATACTCTCTAAAAAAAATTCCTTAATTGCATGCATAATTTTAAATTACTGTAATTTGTTCAAGATTCTGTGAAAAATCACTCCCCCCCCTTTTTTTTGAAAGACAAAAGAAACAAAAGGATAACAGAAAGTCTTAAAATTCTGTGACTAAGTTATACAGTTTGGAGGGATAATGTTAGGTGTAGGCGACATTGGAATTCTATAAAACAAAGTAAAGATGAATAATTTTAAAATTGCAAATATGTTAAAGAGAAAAGTTTATAATCCCAGGCGGGTCAAGCTCATTACACTATTACACTGTACCTTTTAATTTATTGTCTTAAAAACTCATATTCAACAGAGTATGACGTTTCCCATTTACTTTTCTCCACATTAAAATAACTTTTGTGCCCATAATTCATTAAAACAGTGGAAACAGATACTTCCATTTTAATTTTTCTTTCTTTGTTCCTTGCCATCATTACAGAATTTTATTCATTATGGAGAAGCCAAAAGATATACTTTCAGCTGAAATGAGAGATGAAACTATTACAGTAAACTCAATTCCAGTTCTATAACAAGTAAAACAAAAACTCCAAACACAATTTCTTCATCACGTGAAATACATCCTTGGCACGTTCTCCTCTTTCAGAGTAACTCTATCTAGAAAGGAAGTGCTCCTTTTGACCAGAAGCAGCAGCTTAGAGCTAGTGCTCCTAAATGACAAAAGCGGCTTCCCTGTCTTCACCCCATGAAATTGCACGTGGCTTCGGTCAGGACACAGCCCTCAAGCCTACCCCTCTGCAGAGCGCAGGGTGGACACAGGGGTTCCTGGGAGCGGTTCTCCAGGGCTGCTCTGCTTCCAGGCGTCCTGTCCAGGGGTGAGTCCAGCCGAGATCCAATAAGCCCTCTGCCTCTCGAGACTGGAACCCTAACAGCACTGAGTGCCCCTGCACTTCTGTATTTGCAAAGACCTTCTCTGAAGCCACCGGGGGGTGGTGGCCTCTCTCTAACCAACACCCAAGCTCCAGTGGGCGGCAGGGCTGTGGGCGAGCCGCCCCAGGGTCAGAGCCCTGCTGGGTCCTTCCTGACACCCAGGCTCCTCTGTCAGCACTGTTACACTCTCCACTTCTAAAAACCAGCAAGGGGGGATGTAATGTACTCCGCGGGACCAAAGCCAATAATAATTCAGTATACTTCAAAGTTTCTAAGACAGTAGATCTTAAGTTTTCACTGTAAGAAAAAATTTATAACCATATATGGTGATATTTGTTCAACAAGACCTTTTGTGCTATAAAAACAAATATCACATCATTAGGTTGTTCATCTAAAATCTATGTCAACTATACTTCCATTGAAAAAGAGACAAAAAAATTAAGGAAATACAGCCTGCTCTCTGTATTAGTCGGTTCTGTATCTGTGAATTCAACCAACCACAGATTAAAAATATTTGAAAATAAAACTTCCTATAAAGTCCCAAAATGCAAAACTTGAATTTTCTGTGTGCAACTCTTTACATAGTCTTTATATTGCATTAGATATTAGGCACTCTAGAGATGATCTAAAGTATATGGGAGGATATACGTAGGCTATATTCAAATACTGTGCCCTTATATATAGGACTTGAGCATCCTTGGATTTAGGTATCTGTGGAAGGACCTGAAACGAATCCAAGGGACCACTATACACCAGGAAAGCAGGGAAGGGAGAAGAGGGGGCAGTGCTCTGCAAGGCCTCGATCCCCAGACACACGTTCAAGGTGCAGGTGCTGAGGGTGGGACATGTTGACAGTGGGACATGTTGACAGTGGGACACGTTGACAGAGGCACAGAGGTTCCCCCGGGGCTAGAGAAGGTGTGGGGACAAGACTCTTCCATGGCACCATCTCTACGCATGTGGTCCCCTTTCCATGTGGGTTTGATGAACCAAAGTGAGGAGAAGAAAAAGATTCTTGGAAACTTCTAGGGCTTCACTTGACCACCTGGTGACAATGTTAGGCCATCCTGGGCTACTAACAAGAGAACAGGTTTGACTTCTCATGGAGGTGACTGGAGGGGAGAACCTGGCTATCTGGGAAATGACGTCAGAGCTTTTGAAGGCAGCCAACACATCAGGGCCTGGGGCTGAAAGGCCTGGGGTCTAGCAGCTACATCAAGCAGGTAAGAAATCTAAATGTGAAGACAATTACGATCTCATCTAACTTTGCACTGGGGAAGATGGTAATAAATAGCTATAATGTTAAGTCAGTGGTTCCCACACTCCATGGGTATTAACCCCTCTTTGCTGCCTTAAGCAGATACTTGGCCTCTGTGTGCTTCAGATTCTAAGACTGTATTAACGGAGGAGGGAAAATCTACCCAGAAAAGCTCAGCAAAATACTGTGAAATTATAGCCACTGATGGGGAGTGAGCAAGCCCTTGGCTCAGCAGCAGGCAGACCCTGAAACACTTTCCATGGTCATAAATACACGTGTGTACAAAACCTTTAGTAAAGTTTCCCTCTGTGTAACCATCCCTTTGTCACTCATCAGGGCTTAATTTCCTAGGAACCATAAAGAGATAGTCCAGATTGGAAGGTAGGATGCCTTAAAAGTCCATTTTCCCTGGAAATCCCACTCTGACCTTTGGTTTCCTTTGTGAATTGTTTCCCTTATCTCACTCACTCTGAAACAGTCACCATGAGCTCACACGGTAGCCCCTGACCACCCACATCTTGCCGCCCCAGCGAAAGCCAGACTTGTGGAAGAGAACCAGCAACAGAGCAGTCACGTCTGTGTGACACCAGGAAAAGCGCATCTTTAGAAGCGTCCCAGCCTCCTCTGCCCACAACCCAGGGCAGGGGAAAGCAGGACCGTTGATGCAACAGCCGTCAGGCGAGGGGGCTCTGGCTCCCCTGGCAGAGGGTGGCTCACCTTCACATTGGGAGTGTAGAGATTCCTGAGAGAGGCCAGGGCCGCGGACAACCCCTCGGTGCTGTACCCGATCCACAGGGCCTGCAGGTGGCTTGAAGAGATTCCCGTCTTCTTGCTGAGGCCCTGGGAAAAAACAGCAGCAAATCAGCTTCAACATCTCCTCTCCCACATGCAGCATGCGTCTGAAGCGGGTGAAGGTCCCCGCTGAACACGAGGCAAAGGCTGTGTGCTCAGGAAAGACTTGAACCTGTAAGCATTCCCCTCCTAAAACCAAGGGTCAAGGAACCAGCCTGCCTTTGCTACATTAACTGTCCGCCTGGCGGAAAGGATGGCAGTTGAGGGAAAAGTTTCTCTTTGTAGAGGTTCTCTAATCAATTAAAGGAAGAATAAATGTTAGAATATCACCATTTATAGTCCCTAACGAAGGAAGAGACCAGTCATGGCTGATGGCCTCCCATCAAGCACACTGTGTCCTGACGCCAGAAACCTCACACAGACTTTACAGAGCATTTTAACTCTAACGGGCAGACCTCGAAGATATTGCAGGTTTGGTTTCAGACCACAGTGACCATGTGAGTCATGCAATTTTTCTGGTTTCCTGGTGCACTTGAAAGCTTTATGTTTACACTATACTGTAGTCTACTCAGAGTGCACCAGCATTGTCTAAAAAATGTACTAATACATACCTTAATTTAAAAATATTTTATTGTTAAAAAATGCCAACCATCATCTGAGACTTCAATAAGTTGTACTAGTAACATCAGAGATTGCTGATCACAGAACACCAAAAGAAGTAACAATGAAGAAGTCTGAAATATTGCTAAGAATTTTCCAAAATATGACACAAACATGAAGTAAGCAAATGCTACTGGAAAAATGATGCCAAAAGTCTAGTTCAATGCAGGGGTGGCACAAACCTTCAATTTGTAAGAAAAAATACAATTATTTGCAAAGCACAATAAAGCGAAAGTGCAGTATAACAAGGTTTACCTGTATAAAGTAATTATGATACGCAGGGGGGGTGGTAAGGGAAGAATCAAACCTGAACCTGATTAAACTGCTCAAAATAACTACCCAAGAATAAAAAATCCAGAGGAAAAAGGAACAAGTTAAACTAGGCCACAAGAAACAAGGACACAATCAGAAAATCCAGGTGGTAGGAAACTACAGAGGTCACATAGCTTCTTCTATAACTATTTAACAAGGAAACAAAGGGGAATGAATGAAGTAGAAACTTTTAAGAGATTTAGAGGGTGGAAAAATAAGAACAATGGTTACTTTCAGGCATGGGCTCACAAAGTTGTCTCCAGAACCAAAACCTCAGTGTGGTACCAATGAAACCCTCCCTCCAGCGGTGTGGGGCTCACCTTGAAAATGTGTGCCTTCAGGATGTGATGGCCAAGCTCCATGGTCTGCTGGCGGTTCAGCTTGCCCTCCTGTCGCGAGAACATGAACGCCAGCAGAGCGTGCCCATTCCTAGGACGAGAAATACAAAGGCTGGTAAACAAAGACCCCAGTGCCCCTCCCCGTAGGCCCTTGGGGTGAAAACACCACCAAACAACCCCTGAACTCTCCTCCTGGGGTCTCAGCATCACCATATGAGATGGGAGGAAAGCTGCTTCTTCACAGAGGATGCCAATGCTGTTTACTCCTTAAGTCATTTTCTCGGGACTCCCCTATCTCTGTGGAGTGACTCAGAGAGAAGCCCCAGGACAGGGCAAGTCTTTGCCTGTGGAACCACCCACTCTGTGTTCATCGGCCATCACTCTCTCGTAATTTAAGTCTTTCACAAAAACACAAACTCCATGAGACTAAGGGTCTTGTCTAAGTCACAGCTATGGTCACAATACCTAGCCAATGCCCAAGACTCAGTAAGAACCCAAATATGCATTTCTTGGATGGGTGGACAGATGAAGGACAGATATGTGCAAATGGACAGATGGAGCAGAACCATACTGGACCTGACCCTAGGCCAAAGGACAAGCCCTACCATGGGAGGGAAAGAAAAACCAGGCTGCACGCAGAAATAGCTCAAGGTCAGCAAACAACTAGCATTTTAGGCTCGAAAGGAACACAGCTCCTAGTGGGGTAAGAAAGCTAAGTTGTATGAGTGTGTTTGCTATGTCTGGGCACAGGATGGACATTCTCCTGACACCACCAGTTAATCCACCTATTAGCCCTCTCATGAAGGAGCCACCATACCCATTTTCCCCTCCATGTCTGTAGAACTTATTCTGTCTCCCATGGACTCCATGCCTATGCCAGTCTGTTTGGAAAACATGCTAAGGGCGGCTTATTCCAACAGCAGCCAACTGCTGTGCGAGGTGAATCATTTTCATATCTATTAACCTGACACCTGTGAAGTTTTGTTCTGCTGAGAAAAAGCGGCTAGTTGTAGAGAAAAAGATAAACACTGTGAAAAAGAAAAGCATTCTTCTAAATGTGTTTTCTAGTCATTGCTGATCTAGAGGATTAAAAGCATGCATCATTTAAATCATATTTATCTATCCAAATGCTTGCCTGTTTCTCAATTATCCATCATGTTACAGATGAGGAAATCAGGGCAGGTGGAAACCACAGACTGTTTTTCATCCTACAGGAGAAGATGTGACATTTAAGGCCCCACTGCCACTGAGTCTCCCACTTAATGTCTTGTAAGGGTTTAGAGCACATACCCTGTGCTCCCTTGCACACAATACCTCCCAGACCTCAAGCTTCAGTTCCCCTTCTCACATGAGAACCTCCCTGCTCCCATGGAAACCACTCTACTGTCTTCCAGTGGTCCACGCCCTCCCTGGTCCACATCGATGGGCTAGTCCCACATGACTAATCAGGGCCAGTCTCCCACCCATGGGCTCAGCCACCCTCAGTCTCCCAGTCTTCTAGCTCTGTGGCCATGCTAGCTGCAACCACCACAAAACCTGCTAAGTACTGTGGTTGGCTGGCCCTCGTGGGTGATGACCACCAACCCTTCAGTGGTTGGGCCAAAGGTGTCTGGGGCTCTCAGCTAAGCACATGGCTTCCCCCCTCTCTGAGGAAACAATTCACCACACAGTCATTGAGTACCCGAGCTCCTCTACACTGAATACACCTTTACATCCTTCCTTCCTGGTCCTAAGATCACATGCCTCCTGCTAAGTCTACCTGCACTTACTGTCCATTTTCCAAAGCTTACACATATCCAGCTTTTTACCACATGCCAGATGCAGAAAGAGTAACTAAGCTATTTTATTAACCTGTTTGACCCTGTGAATCATGAAGTATCACGATTCCAAATTGGTTTGCCTGGGGGAAACAGAGGCCTGTACAGGTAAATGATGTGCCCAAACAGGTGATAATGACTGAGGAGAGTGGGACCACAGTCTATGTTGTATTTGAGCCCCTGTGCTCTTCCTCAGCATAATCCGACTTATCCATTCATTTGTGCATTAACATCCTCCTAGAACCAGCACCTTGTTTGATACTGGGATCTCATGGGGAACAACGTGAGGTCCTTGCCCTGAGGAGCTCTCAGCAACTGGACTGGAGACACTAAACAAGACGAAATCAAGCTAGAATGGTGTCGTGAATGGATGCTGCAGAGGCAAAGAGGGGACTCGCTGACCCCATTCCCTCGAGTTTCCAATTTCTCCCCCTTCACGGAGTGTGTTTCCATGAACATGCTGTCTCAAGGATGCTCCCAACATCCCAATCCCTTGTGTTGTTTAAAACATAAACCAAAACTCTTCCCCCACCCTCAACCCCAAACCTCCCCACGCTTTTACTTTCCATGCCAGGATGCTGGCTCTCCTCTTTCACTCCTCACAACCCAAGGGAAGGAATCTCCTGGAGATCTAGGACCCTCCTCCCACAACGAAAAGCCAATGGCTTCCTCTGAATCCTCACCTTCCTTCACTTCTCAGCAGCGCCTACTTCCTTCACTTTCCCAGAAATCCTTCTCCTTGTCCCAGAAGTCCAACATTCCCTCTCCCTCAACTGCACTTCCTCATCATGTCCCACCATTGCCTCTCCATCAACGATGCCAGATCTTTTAACTCTAACCTCTCTTCCAATTGTTAGACCCCACCTGCCTTGGAACCCCAACACCAACCCCATGAGTTCACACTGCTAAAATCCAAAGCAGCTCCTGCCTAGCAAAGCCAGCCCTGTGCCTCTGCCTTTCTGACCTGCTCTAAGAGCAATGCCATCCCTAGTTTCTGAAGCTTAACACCTCAAAGTCATCCATATACAGTACCTCCTTCTGCTCAACTCTGCCCACAGGCCAAGCCAGGCCCATCTACCTCATGTTAGCAAGGCTTCTCTCCACTTTACTATCTTCCTGTAAAGTGGTCTGACTTAGCTAAATGTATCATAGAACATCTGTCACCTAGTTTTTACTGACTGGCTAAATAACCTGGGAGTTAGTTTATTGTCCCAAAGCACTTTCAAAAAACAATAAACTCTTAGCCCAGTGTCACCTAAGAAAACACCCTATTTACAACATAAAAGAGCAGCTAGACCAAGAGAGTCAATGGTAAGTCAATATTCATGGAAGAAACATACATTACCATATGTAAAACAGATAACCAGTGGGAATTTACTGTGTGACCCAGGAGGCTCAAATCAGGTGCTCTGGGACAACCTAGAGGGGTGGGGTGGGAGGTGGGAGGGAGGTTCAAGAGGGAAGGGGCATACGTATACCTGGGGCTGATTCATGTTGATGTATGGCAGAAATAAACACAATATTGTAAAGCAATTATCCTCCAGTTAAAAATCAATAAATTAAAAAAAATATTCATGGGAGAAAGGGAGTATATGGCTCACAAGTGTTTATTCATTTCATTTCTGGGCCTTAGCATCGGATTAAACAGCTAGGGCAGCCCAAAGGAGCTGAGAGGCTTGTCAGATCTCTTACACAGGGCCTGGAGCAATTCCGAATCAGAGAAGGTAGGAGCAATGATGCTGGACATGAACCCACCCTTATCTAAGAGGATCTGCACTTCAAATTCCTCAGTCTCTCACCCTGACTTACACCATACTGCAGGGTGGGCAGGCTTCCCACCTACCTCCTCCCCTTGACAGTGGGGAGAGCTGTGTCCTGGCTCAGCCTTGCTGCAAAGCCTCAGTGAACCTCTGACTCCTCGGATGCAGCCGCTCCACCGCAAATGAGGCACCTGAACTCTGAACCTGATTCCTCCCGACCCCAAATCCCAATCTGCTATCCTTGCAGGACACAAGTACAAAATGAGGTGGCCAGAAGTGATGGCTGTGTTCCCCTCTGGGGCCACAGATGCATCAGATCCCTGGGACGAGACGCCACAAGCTCAAGAGGTGGCAGACGGCATTGAGAGACAGTCTGCAGATTCCCACCCTCGCGAAGGAAGAGAGCCGTGAACAGGCTTGAGGGAAGCCAGCTGTTCCCTGCAGCTGGTCCCACACTCTCCTGCTCCTGCCCCTGAGGGAGGGGACAGGGACCTAGAAGAGAATCACAAAGAAACACCGCCCGGGAACCGCCCAGCTTCTCCTTCATCCAGATATACTGAGGAGACCTACAATACTAGCAATTAAAGGAGGGAAGCTTTCACATGAAACTACTCAATGTGATGTGGCAGCCTCAATGGGAGGGAGGTTTGGGGAGAATGGATACATGTATATATAAGGCTGGGTCCCTCCACTATTCACCTGAAATGACCACAACAACTGTTAATTGCTTATGTGCTCAGTCATGTTTGACTCTTTATGACCCCATGGACTATAGCCCACCAGGCTCCTCTGTCCATGGAATTCTCCAGGCAAGAATACTGGAGTGAGTTAATTCTCTTTTCCAGGGGATCTTCCCAACCCAGGGATAGAACCCATGTCTCCTGCATTGGCAGGCAGATTCTTTACCAACAGCGCCACCTGGGAAGCTGGTTAACTGACTGTATGTATCCCAATACAAAATAAAAAGTTAAAAAAAAAAAAAAAAGGAAGGAAGGAAGTTTTTGTTTGAGGGTTTCCCTGGTGGTTCAGGCGGTAAAGAATCTGCCTGCAACTCAGGAGACCCAGGTTCAGTCCCTGGGTCAGGAAGACCCCCTGGAGAAGGGATTGGCAACCCACTCCAGTATTCTTGCCTGGAGAATCCCATGGACAGAGAAGCCTGGCGGGCTACAGTCCACATGGTCACAAAGAGCTGGACAGGACTGAGCGACTTTCACTGTATCATTCATGCTGTGTTGTCTTTCTGCAAAAGACCATGAATCGTGTTTGTGATCCCTTCGCCAGCCAGGCATCAGGCTTCCTGCACAGAGCTGCTGGGTAAGCGGCCCGTCATACCTGGGCTCACACAGGAAGGCTGTGTTCTCGCCATCTGCTCTCCACACGAGCCACTCCCTGAAGGATGGGTGACAGAACATGCGGGTTTTGTCTCGCCGCTTGATGAGGAAGCAGGAGAGGGCATCCATCCTCTGCTGGAAGTCCTCCCAGCCCTGCTCCCCTTGGATGTGGCCGGCGTTGATCGCCTGGAAGATCTGCTCATCCGTCATGGGGTGGAGGGACGCCAGGGCCACGTTTAAAATGGGAAGCGCCCTCTCGAAAGCAGACTGGGTCATGAACTTCATGTTGCACTGTAGCAGGTAAAGCTCAGACAGAGACACAGGCACCACCTTGTAGCTGGCGCTCTTGATGACCAGGTGTCCCCTTTCGAAGAGGTCCAAGGTGAGCTTGAGGTACAGGTAGGAGCCGAGGCTCCGCAGAACCAGATGGCTGCTCACTTTGCCGATGAGGGCGGCATCGGCCTTGCCATTCAGCGAGATGTTGCTGAGGATGTCCTGGCTGCTGTGGACCCTGTGCTGGACGTAGGCGTGCAGGTCGCTGTGGATGTCTTTATTGTCCGGAAAGTCATCCAAGGACAGCTTGACAAACGGCAGCTCGCTGACGATTTCCTGCAAAGCAACAGGACCCACTGTGTCACTCCACGGAGATTTCTTTTTCATGTCAGCTGCACTTCAAACCAGATCCCCGAGTTTTCTTTCAAGGGGGCTTTTCATGGATTACAGGGACTCATTGTTTTATCTTAAAACGTGTAATAGGATAAATTGAAGATAAAAAGCTTATGTGAAAGAAATGCCTGATGTGAGATCAAATCAGAAAAGGCTTTCCTGAGGCTCTTATCCGAGGATGCAGAGCCAAGTGAGATGGAAGAGCCTTGAGCTGGCAGTGACAACCTGGCTGCACCAGCAATGGGGCACGGAGACCCCCAGGTGACCTGATACGCATAATCTTTACACTGTGCAGCTGGTGATACAACAAGGACAGACACAAACCAACATTGTGCATCTAAGACCATGGCCGGACACTGCGATCAGAGGCATTCTTCAGTGTGCGTCAAGATACCTAACCAGGTCCTCTGAAACTGCCCCCAGGCTGGGCCCCAGGGACTGCTGAAGTGAAGCTGTCGGACTTCCATATAGCCCACTATTTGTTGTTGGTGGTGTTAGTTTTTTTTGTAAACTTTTAAATTGAAGTGTGACATACACAGGTGCACAAATCTTAACTACATGGAGTCATTCACTTTCTCAAAGTCAAATATACCTGCGGGATCAGCAGGTAGACACAGAACACCCTGTCCCTTTCCCATCCCACAGGTAAGCACCTAACAGTCGAGGTGAATTTTGTCCCTTTTTTTGTTTAAGCGTCCCACTGTCATTTCTGTGATGTCCTCACCGAATGTGACAGCTGTAGGCGGCAGGCTGAGGACAGTTACCCCCCTGTACACGGATGCTAACTGAGACTCTGAAAACTCAACACAGCTCAAACACAGAACACAGGATTCCTGCTCCCGAGCTGCTGACTGCCAAACTCTGTTCACTGTGGAAAAGTGACTGAAAAGTGTATGAATCAAATGTCTATAAAAACAAACACCAAGTGCACATGAGGTCCAATCCTCCTTTTAAAGAGGAAAAGAAGAACCCAAATGCTATTTTAAAATAAATATCATCCTAAAAGGGAAAAAAATAAAAATCCATGTCGCGCATCTTTACTATAAATGGATAGGGGTAGATGGAAGGAGTCAATGGTTGTTAAGATATAATTACAGAGTTCAAATGAGGGGACAGATGAGGAATAGAATTTTTAAAAAACACATACACTCTTCATTTTGCTGCAAGTGTTATCTCATGTTTAAGTTTTATGAAAAACTTAACCATTTTTCAGAATTGGCCTTAAAAATCTTCCTCCTTTATCTCTCCCTTACCTCTTCATTAAAAAAAAAAAAAAAAATTCACTGCAAACCCATACAAATAACTACCGGCAAGAATAACTTGAAACCCTAGTAGACTATTGGCCAGGCACCTAAAACAGTCCCCCAAACTGAGTTGCGATGAACTGGGGTGAGACATTTCCATTTTGGAAGCACCACTCTAGCTTAATGAAATTAGGGAACTTACCTGACACTTTGATAAATGTGCCTCGGGGGTAAAAAGGTTAGAGCTTTGCCTGTTTAGGGCTCTGTGCACTATTATTTCAAAGTTCTAATACAGTTTTCAATTCAGCAGCAAAATGATTTACAACAGTTTAAGTTGTTAATGTTAACCTAAAATTATAATTATAAAAATTGCAAAATTGGGGCATAGGGTCTTAGAAAGAGATTGAGCATTCTTTTTTACCTGGAAATTTGCTCTTACAGTCACAATCAACTTCAACCAAGCAGGGAATTTAGAAATAATCTTGGTAATAAATGAAGAAAGCGTATCTCCATAATCAGGTTTATGAAACTCAGCTTCATTTAAGCCATCTATCAAAATAATGTATTCTTCTTCAGGAATTTTCTGCTCTAAAAGATAAAATGATTTTTCTTAAATTAAGAAATTACACATTTCTATAAGATAGCACCACCCAGTGTATTTTAATGCACAATTTAAAGTGTTAGGGAAAACTAAAAAGGTTTACATATGGCAGAAAAAGTGGTTTTCACAGAAGCATATTTTCTATTAAATCTGAAAGCCAGAGTGGAGAGCCAAAAGAAGATCAATTCCCACCAAACAGTTTTCAGAAACATACTGCATCACACACATTAGCAGGATCTCACCCACGTGTATGATTACAGTTAGCTCTTCAAAAACTCCTGTCACTGGGGTGAGTGACAGCAAAGATAACCAGCACACACTGAGATGAAACCTGCAAAAGACTCTAGGTCCTGTCCCCCCACCCCGCCCCACAGAGCTCCCTTGATGGATTCTGGGAAGGCAAGAGGACCCTGGAAGGTCAGAGCATCCCACCAAAGGCACACAGCCAGTGGAGGCAAGAACTCTGCTACAGAGAAACCTCCAAGCCTGAACCTAGCTTTCTATTCACTGGTGCCAGCTTCCTGCCCGGCGATGAGCAGCAGTGATGGCCTATCTGTTTCCCTCCCCTCTCCCTGGCACCAAATGGCAGAAGTGCTATGGAGGCAGGTAGACTAGCTCAAAAGGTAAGGAGCAAGGGGCAGGAAGGATGAATAGACAAAGGCCCAGAATATCACTAATGCCCCTACTGAGACGGTCAAGGGCAAAAAAACCCAAATGGCCACTTCAAGAAATGATTTTAGCTTCAACTGAACAGTGAAAGTGTGCCCATCCAGTTATGTCCAACTCTTTGTGACCCTATGGACTGTAGCCCACCAGGCTGCTCTGTCCATGGGATTTTCCAGGCAAGAGTACTTGAGTGGGTTGCCATTCCCTTCTCCCAACCAGGGGATCTTCCCAACCCAGGGATCAAACCCAGGTCTCCTGCACTGCAAGCAGATTTAGCATCTGAGTCACCAGGGAACAGAGGCCCCTAGAAAAACACGCTGGCACGTTCCCCAAACAATCAACGTACTCCCAATGTACTCCCTCGCTACTGAGGAGTGCAAAATATGCAGGCAGCAGTTTCTAGGGAGCCAGTCATCTAAATAACCTCTGGTTACAAATTAGCTACTTTGGAAATGTTCAACTGGGGAGTCGATTCTTACTGGAGGTGTTCCACTTCTAAGGACATTATTTGGAGGGGGACAAGGTGGGGCCCTGGACAGAGGATTCTGAGGAAGGGGGGAAGACATGCCCACCCCCACATCCTCCCTGTGCCCACTTCGCTCCCTCCCCCAGGGCCGGGAAGACTCCCACCCCCATTCTGAGGACCATCCCGGGGAGAGGGAGGACATGGCCGGCCGCTGGGAGGTACCGTTTCTCAGGCTTGTGAGCGGCTCCAGCACGCCCCTCTTGAAGGCGGCCACCGGGTCCTGCACACAGGACCTGAGGCTGAGCATGCTCTGGAGCTGCGGCTCCCGTATCAGCAGGTCCCGGTAGGCGGCCAGCTGGTGGGAGCGGCAGAGCAGGGCCGCGACGCTGTGCACGAACTCGGGCACCAGGCACGTGTAGGTGTTGTCGGCCTGGCAGTAGTGGTAGGCCACGACCTGCGGGGAAGCAGCCGTCAGCATCGCCCCATCCTCTCCGCGCAGCTCCTTCCACGCTCTCCAATGGGATGCAGTCCTCCCATTCTCTAACAAGACAGGTTCCTTCTATTCCCCAGGACTGAGTCATCATTTAGCTTAATGGATTCAGCAATTCCTCCACTTTGGAAGGAATGCTAAAGCTTGCTGAACTCTAGGCAGACTTTAAGTTGTAGCCACAAATCTGTCTTGACTGCCCCTAAGATCGCCACAAGTTACTCCCTCTGTCTTGAATATAAATGAATAAAAGTTATTCAAGAAACGTAAATTCTACCCTGGCTTAAAACAATTTCGAGCCATCTGGATATTCTTGATATCCACTAGTATCACAGTCACTACATGTCTGTTTTCAAAAAGAGCAGCATCTCCTTGGGAAACTCATTTCCGGCATCCAAAAAGCAAACAAAATTGGTAGCAACGAAAGCCAGGCTGCCAAGTCACTGCTGCTTCCTCTTGCTGGCAAGAGGGCAAGGCAGCCTGGCTCAGGCCCTCAGCCTCCTGCCCACACTTCCAGCGACAGCACGGAGAAGTTCAACAGCAGACACTACCCAAATCCTGCCGGTCGTGTGAAGGGACACACAGAAGGGAGGCTCCTGCCCAAGCGCTGAGAGGATCCTTTTTGGGGGGATGGATTTGAAGTGGCAGCAGGCTATTCATTAAAGAGACCCCCAAGGAAACTGCCAGATGTAGCTCTGTCTTGAGAGTGGGAGGCATACTGCAGACAAATGTAAAATATGTGACTTTCCCCATGAGAATGAATGTAAATACAAGCTGGCGGTGGTGGTGGTGGTTTAGTCGCTAAGTCGTGTCTGACTCTCTTGCGACCCCATGGATGGTAGCCCACCAGGCTCCTCTGTCCATGAGACTGCCCAGGCAAGAACACTGAAGTGGGTTGCCATTGCCTTTCTCCAGGGGATATTTCTGACCCAGGGATCGAACCTGTGTCTCCTGCTTTGGCAGGAGGGTTCTTTACCACTGAGCCACCACGGAGGCCCTAAGTACAAGGTAAGGAAGGTGAGAAAGGTCAAAACACATTCATGTAAAGTACTCTATGTTTTTCAGAGGGTCTGTGTCACTGCTATCCCACTCAGCCCTACAAGCTCTGCAAAAGCAGGACAAGAACCACTGGCTATGGATCAGAGCTGAGGGCAGCAGACACACAGGTTAATGCCCTGCCAGGGTGACAGTCAGTCAATGGAAGATCTGGGGTCTGATTCCAGGTCTAGAGACTCTTACAAAGCAGGTGGCAAGATAGGTGTGGCCAATTTGGAACCCACGTGACTTCTGTTTCTGATCACATCTATCATGGACACTGGAGAAGGAAATGGCAAGCCACTCTAGTATTCTTGCTTGGAGAATCCACAGACAGAGCAGCCTGGTGGGCTACAGTCCATGGGGTCGCAGAGAGTCGGACACGACTGAAGCGAATGAACACGCATCATGGACACTCAGAGGGAAGAGGACTGCTCTTCCCTTGTCAACTAGACAGAGTTTAGCAGCAATGCAAGGGGACCTGTGAGCTTGTGCAAACTACCAGCGAGCCAGCACCACATTCCACCTAGCATGGTGTTTGATAATAGGAAGTCTGGCAATCCAAGAGAGGGGCATGAAATAAATTTGGAGCCATAAAGCCTTTTTTTAAAAATTTAATACAGTGAACTTTATAGATGTAAGAATAAATATACAATGTTTTTGCTTCAGTTGTGTGTGTGATGATGTGTGTGAACACCAGGTGTTTAGGATAACATGTATTTCTTCTTGTGGGTCCCAAACTGGTTTTAAAAACCACTGTCACAGGGTGGCTGTGAAGTCTGCACCATATCCCTCATCTCAGATCACCCGTTCATGGCCAGAGGACTGCCCCAAATCAGTGTTCAGGGCATTGGGACTGCCCAGGCTGGGTGAGGAATAGCCTTCATCGGGAAAGCAGAAGCAAGGAGCAGGGATCTAGGGCTGGGGAACATTTGTTTCAGCTCCCCTGCACCAACCTCACCTGAGGGGGTTCCTCACAGATGCTTCTCACCACTGTCCACTTGTGGCAGTTCTCCACCATCACCAGCTCACACCCCTTCTACCCTGGGAGACCCAAGTGGCTCACGAGAAATGAGAGTGGTAACTGCTACCGTGCAGGAGGGCAGCTTATGAACTTGAGCTGGATGTTGAGCAGACTGAAAACTTCAGAAGGACCTTGATGATCAGGTCCTAGGAAGGGAAAGTCAGCCAAGTCTCTTTACAACATCACAAGAAACCTCTGACAGAAAGACACTTCTAACCAAGGGCCCTAGCAACAGAGTGGGGGTGGGGGAGGAGGCCTGGGGCATGGTAAAGGCTCCCAACCTCCTGCTTTTATACCCAGTGAAAAATGAAGGAGGGCATGTGCTTACAAGATGGATTTGTGGTGACTGCAATGATAACCATGGCGGCTCTGAGGAACTCTTTCAATTCATCATTTAATGACATCAATGACACCACTGCCAGTGTCCTAAGATATTAATTTTCATGAGTACCTTTTATTTGAAGTACTCTATCACAATTTTATCAAAAGTTATATTTTTGAATTAAGCAACTCTTGTCTCCGTTTTAAGATCCCTTTATAAATTCATTTCTCAAAAGCCACACTAGCAAATCTCTCTCTCTGGAAGGCTCCCATAGAGCAGGAGCAGGTTACCTTGGAAGCCAGGTATTTCACGGCATCCTCTCGTGATCTCCGGTTCTCAGGAGCATCAGACCCAGACACTGGGGAGGATTTAGCCGCACCAGTACCACTTGTAGAAGAACTTGGTGAGAGCAGTGGAGTGAAAGGAACATCCTGGGAGGAATCTGAAGCTGCAGTGAAGAGACCAGTTTCATTATTTACAAGGATAGTGTGAGATGCTGAACATACTTCTTGGTTGGACCCAGAGAGTATTTTAACAGCTAATAAGTGAACATGGTATCAAATGCAAAGGCCCAAATGGGAATACCAGGCTCCCTCTCAGCCCTGTCTCCCATTACCCAGGTGCCCTCCCAGGAGAACCGCTGTTCCTGGCTTCCTTTATTATTTTTGGTTAAAAAAAAAATCTTTCCTGGCTCCCTGTTCCTGTTCACCCTGTTAGAAACACTTTGTTTTATTACATATAAAATAAGCTATGGGTTGTCAAATTTACCACTCCTTCCCATTTGAAGTTAGTTTTTATAATTTTGGTAAGTCCAGCATAGAAGACGAAGGCTATGAAAAACAGGATGCCAAAGAATTCTGCACAGACTCCTTCTGGCTTGTTCTGCCAGAAGACTAATCCCGAATTTTAGGACCCTGAATTCCTCAGAGCACCTGATCAGGCCTCATTGCCCCCATCAGGAGGGTGACAGGCCTGACAGCTGGGAGAACAGGAGGGAGGCCTGGCCTCACCCCAGGTCATACCTACAGAAGACTGTGAAAGACAGAGAATTCTCCAGCACGTGATCACAAACCTGACACAGCAGCTGGAACATGAGGAAAACGGGGAATTTGTGTCTATCCAGACAGCAATTCCCTCCACCTTTCTTACATTCATGCAATAAACTGGACCAGCGGTTAAACACAGACATACTTTTCGGTGATGAGCTGGGGCTGTTGGAAGCGATCTGCCTCATGCGGCTTCCATGGCAGCTCAGTGCCACCAACTTAGAAATGATGGCTGTCTTCCCAAAGCCCACGTTTCCAACAACCACCGCGCCTCTGTTTTCCGTCAGTTCTGTGTTCCTCAAGTTTTCTTCTATCTGGTGAAAGAGCCAATCCCTTCCCACAAACACAGAGTCTGTGGTTATGCTCGGTACTTCAAACAATAATGGTTTCAACAAAATGTCTTGTGGCTTGTAGGGAGCAAATCGTGCTTAGGAAAAAAAAAAAAAGATCATTATTTTAGAAGAATGTCATAATTTTATACACTAAAAAACTCAGTTTATCATTGCTTGTATGGTTTTACAATACAAGGGGTCTGCAAGTACTTCAGCATGGTTCTTATAATACTTCCTAATACCTCATTTATCATACCTTATTGGTCTTACAAAGGGTCCTATTAAAATGACTCTAGCCCTTTCATGCTTCTAAGTTATTCACATGACTCAAGATAGATACACAGAGGATTAGAGAAAGTGATGATGAAGGGGCCAAATCATGTCTCATCAGTTTATCTGAAATAGTACTTAAGACATGTTTCTTCCACTTCTACAGGAAAAAACAGAAACGCATTTCCCCTAAAGACAGTGTCCCAGCTCTTATTGGTGTGTGGTGGTACTTTGACCCTTACTATGAGATTTTTGGCTACTCAATTGTGCACTTCAGCCAGAAGCAGGAGGTGGCCCACAGAGCCTAAGAAACTGTAACAAAGCTGATTCTTTGTTGGTGACCAAAAATTCTAGTGAGTGTTAAACAATCCCTGAGTGTTAAACGACCACTCACTTCAAAACAACATATTGCAGAATAATTTTTCAACTCCAGAAGCAAGTTAATTACATAACACAAGAGGAGACTCCAAAACTGTTAAGGATGGTTTCCTAGGACACCATAGAGATACAAACTTCTTGCACGCATACACTTCACTTCATGTTTTAAAAACAGCTGGCCTGAATGCTGGTTACCACAGACTTTCCATGTTTAGTGAACGAGCTCATCACAGCCATAATCACAGCAGATGCAAAGGTAAATACCTTTAACTTCCTGTGCCCTACCTCCGGCCGTATTGTGCCACGGTAACCTAATTGATGTCCGAAGGGGAGCATTTCTCTGTCCATCCAAATAACTCAGGTCTTCCAATTTGGTTGAGCTCGTTGCTGTAATATTAAACTGAAGTTTAGTCTTTTCAAAGTTGAGTTTAATATCATACTCAAAATACGAAAAATTATAAATAACAGAGCCATTCATTTCAGGCTTTCAACAAAATTTACTTCAGACTGACTTTGGTTTTGTTTGCCCGCCCCTATTAATTTTTCTGTCAGTGTTGTTAATTGAGAAGTGGACAAAACCAAGAGTTCCTCATTCTTGAGCCAAAGTCATGTTGATAACGGCTGCCAGAATCTCCGTTACTCCAGGAAAGAGACAGACCTCACCAAAAATTTTTATGAAGAAACCTGAATCAAGTGAAATTCAGTAAAGCTTCAGTACTGACTGCAAACACAGCACAGTGCCTTGTCATCTCTGTAGCCTGAGAGAGTCTTCCACTGTCACTAGAATTCCAGCTTTGCTAACTAGGTGAGCAGATTCTGCATGGACAATTCCTCAGGGCTCGGAAGCCTTAAAGTCAGCTCTTGGCAGCAAAAGTAACCAAGTGGACTTTATCAGAAAGCTTCCAATTTTTATGTATACATTATAGATTATATATTATACTATATTATGTTTGTGTACTTTTTTAATTCTAAAAATAAGTAATCACATTTTCCTCTGATCAAATAAGTAAGAGTCATGGCACATAGTTACCTGTTAAAAAGTTTTAAGGATCTATTCAAGCACACATAAGGTGAATTATAAAAATAATCAGTACAAAATAATTTTGTTATGTCTTAGCAAATTTTTAAAGTAAATACACAGTTCATGCTTCCATCTTAAAAAAGGAACCTTCTCCTATTTATTTATATATATATATATATATATATATATATATATATATATATATTCTAGGTCACAATGAGAAAAATCTAAGTAAAATCAAAACCAATCTGGTTTGGGGGTTAAGGAGTCCATTAAAAAAATAATGATGATCCTAGACATATGATTATCTTACAGGGATACAGACATCACTTGAGGGGGAATGATGGGGGAGAGGGAGTTCCTATTTCCAAGGCTAGGGCTTCTAAGACTGGTGAAACCATCAGTGTGACAGGATTTTGAGGGACGGAAGTCAAGCTGGGCCATCTGCTTGCTGAAAACCCCCTGGCTACCCTACAGGCACGGAAGCAGCAGCCGACCACCAACCAGCACCATCTGCCTGATCTGCGCCCTTCCTACTTCCCCTCCTAAGGCCTCGGTCCTTTTCTTCCTCACTTTTGGCACCATCTCCTCTCACTCCTCCATTCAGCAGGCATGTGGGTGGCTCATGGCCAGCTCTGCGACAGTGCATCCACTCTGCTGCAGTCTCCAGAGGCCAACTGACCATGTGCCCTGCTCAATGTCCCAGGCCACGGAGAAACATCAGACTGCTCGACTCTACGGCAGCACACACTGATGCTTCTTCGGTGCATATCCACAGCCTGTTCACACATGCTGCACACAGTATGTAAATACTCCTCACAAATCTTTCCGCTTAGAAAGATACAGCTCCACTTAGAAAGATACAGCTAATTCCCTATGCAGGACTTCCAAGTGAGCCTAAGGTATAGGAATCCAAGGCAACATCTAGCTTCTCTCCAGGTCCTTCACAATCAGGGCATGGGAAACTTCCTAGATGGCCAGTAGGACCACACCCATCACCCTGACTCCCTATAGTAATACTGCTTAGAACATATTTCCAGACTCCCACCTGGGACCTGGGACTCTGACTCGGGGCTCTGCAAATGACCCTTCTTCAGCACACCTCCTTGTGCACACACCTACATGTTGAAGGCTGAGACAGAAGGAGTAACCCCAGCTACATTCTGGCCACAAGCTGGTTCGGTTCAGAGCTGGAAGAGCCCAGATTGTCTGACCTGCTGCCTCAACCCCAGAGGGCACAGAGATGCCTGTAGCCTCCAAAGGCTTCCACTTACCTTCTTATCCTGATGCCTTAAAACATGACATTCAGTTCAGAATTTTTTGACAACTGATGGTTTAATAAGAAGAGACTGTAAAGAGCACTTCAAAGAAAGGATTGCAAAAAAGCCCAAGTCTGACACAGAGGCAGGAGATAGGAGGTTTCAAATACCTCTTTGCAGATATTCAATGACTACAGTTTCAGTTCCAAAGTAGGGAACAGAGTGGCCCAGCAACTCCAGAGGTCTATGCTAAACATGAACACATTGTTTCGAAAAGGACCACTGCTTATCAGGGCTGCAAGCCACCACCTGCTGGCTCCCTCCACTTTCCATAGTGTCATCACAGCCACTGAGAGTGATGAAAGAGAAGCAGCAGTGACGCTGCAGTGTTCAGTCCCACGCCCAGGTGACACCCAAGATGACAACATGCTGTCCTTTCACACACTCCGAGGAATTCTCAGATGCTACAAAAATTAGCTCACTTCTGGTATTTAAATAATAAATGCTTTCAAAAGCCCAAACACTATTCAGAGTCCAAAAGAATCAGAGGGAAAGCAATAATTTCATGCTGCAATAAATCTACTGCTGATACCTCTACAATTAAATTAATTATACACTCATGGCATACACGCATTGTGTCTAACATCTGGGTAAGAAGTACATTTTAAGGTGCTGCAGGAAAGAGGGGTTTTTGGTGGGGAAAGGAGGTGGGGGTGGAATGGGTAGATAGAGAAGCAGAGGGAGACTTGTCTAAGTTGAGCAAAGGGAACATCTATTAAAACACCATGGATTAACTTATCAAAGGTAAGTGCCATTAAGTCCAAGGCAATTATCAGTTAGAGTCTCAAGAAAACTGGCTGGTAATTCTGCTTGTTAGTTTCCTAAACTAAACAGTATTCTGTGATTCACTTAGAAAGTATTTCAAAGGACAAAAAAAAAAAAGAAAAGAAAGAAAAAAACAAAACAGTAGTCCAAAAGGGTAGAGCTCAATTATCCAACTTCTGGATTATTCAAGATATCATTTTAAAGGCTTCTCATTCTGCTTTTTAATGAAGGAATAATGTGTCTGTGTTATGTATTTTGATATGGCATATAAAATAATAATCAGACTGCAGCTTTCTAAATCAGTTCCACTTCAACAAATGCTTTGCCAAAGAAAATCTCTGTATAGCAAAACAATCACCAAACCTAGCCAACTTACTTTTATAACCTTTGACCAAAAAATTCCACTGTATGAGACAATTAAGAATGAAGCAACAGCTCCAGTTCTCTGTAACAGGCTTAGTGACAGTAAAGGCAGGCAGCCTTTGGAACTTGTTTCCATATCCTCACCCCCCAAGGAAACTATGTCCCTTGGGGAAGCTGGCATCACCTTTCTTTCCCCTGCTTAGTCCTTATTCTGATTCACATACCAAAACACCTTTCCTACCAAACGGCAGTTTCTCTGTGTTTACATGGATCTTAACATGCAAACACTTTCACGAGATTTCAGTATACGGTCCTTCCCACCTTACTTCAGTCCACCCCCGAATGTTGCCTACTGTTCTCTTTGTAGCAACCTGCCTTCTAATCCCTAGACAAACAGCACTGCATATAGTCTATAACATGAGTCTTCTGTTCTTTTCAATGATACTTGAAAAATCTTGCCATTCCCTCTTTAAAAAATTTTTTATTTATTTGGCTGCACTGAATCTTAAGTTGCAGCATGAGGGATCTTTTTGGCATGAGAACTCTTAGTTGTAGTTTATGGGATCTAGTTTCCTGACCAGGAACGGAACCCAGCCTCTCTGTATTGGAAGTGAAGAGTCTTAGCCACTAGACCACCAGGGGAGTTCCACCATTCCCACCTAACTGAAGTTCAGCTTCAGGGGTAAAAGGGTAGGCAATGAAGAATCTACCAGACTCCGAGCTTGTTAGCAGATACTATAATGTAAGGCACTTTCCTATTTCCTTCCAAAATATGCTTTTAGTTTATAAAATATGCAACATGGGAGAAATGAGCAAACCCATTAGACTAAGCAGTCACTGCTCAAGCCCAGAGGTAAAACCCTCCCAATTCCACAGGAGGTCTGGTTCAAGTGCATCCATAGAAGCTAATGAATGAGCACAGCAGAAATCAGAAAGCCCTGTTCTATAATCACTGCAGTCTCCTGGAAATGCTCAGCTCACACCCACTGTCACTTCACGTGGCAGGAAACCACATAAAAGAACATCAAGCAGAAAACATAACCTGAAAGGGGGCCTTTTAACACTGTTAAATTAATTTATTAATGTGTTTCCTAATTTTAAAATAGCTGCATTAAACTGAATACAAGTCAGCCATTTTGTTGAAGTCAATACAGCTATGAAGCCCTGGGATAATACAAATGAACAGGTAAAAAGGGTCTAAAATTTGCAACATATTATGCTGTAGATGGTGAAATGGTGGTGGGAGGACACACTATCTTCTGGAAGAACCATCATTCAATACATTCAATACACATAAAGCTCTCAGTACTTCCTTCCGGCAGGCACACCAAATCCCTCTTCTGGAACAAGGCCATTTTACTTCCTTTGAAAGTGAATTAAGAGTTGTGTCTCAGAATTCTTCCATTAGGACTGTATATTTATCAGCCACTTCGGAGTTCCACTGTAAAACACACCCAACGACAACCAGAGTAGCCTGGCCCATCCCAAAGGAGTAGTACAGAGTCACAAAGAAACCCTTTGATGTAAGAAGAGAGATCCTGGGTACAGGCCTTGGCAGAGGAGAAATCGTAAGCATCTCATTGGTAACAAACAATGATCAAAACAAGTTCCTCTTCTAAATTCAACAGAAGAGCACCGAGTTTAGAAATTTGGGACCTTGAAACAGGCACAGCAGCTCAGATGTAGGGCTCCCTTCCCCACCCACTGTGAACTAGCACCCACTGACCAGTCAGCCAGCACCAGTCACCCCTTTCACACTCTCTTCTCAGCTCCAGCTGCCCCATCTTGATGAGACGTGGCTGCCTGGCCTGTTTCCATTTCCTTGATGGAGAACTTGCTTTTCTGCTGCTTGTATTAAACCGTGAGCTCCCTTATAACCAAATTATACAAAACTGATCTCCCATCTATATGATGAGCCTCAACTACAGAAAATTAGCTTGAAAGCTGGATTAGAAATTCTTTTGAGGGGTGGGTAGAAGGGAGGTTCAAGACGGAGGGGATATACACATACATATGGCTGATTCACATTGTATGGTAGAAACCAACACAACACTGCAAAGCAATTATCCTCCAACTAAAAATTAAAAGTAAATTGTAATGAAAATTCAGAGGAATGGAAAGAAGAAATTCTTTGAGCTGATATTAACAAACTCATTCTAAACAATGATTTCCCTTGATTAAGCTGTAAATCCTGCATTAACTAGGGCTTAAAATAATCTGAAAGAAAACAACAAAATTCTGTAAAGCATTATCCTACAATTAAAAAAAAAAAAAAACGACAGAGTTTTTGGTCCTTTCTTCCCTCATATACAAAGAGCCATATAGTCTAAGTATTAGATTTAAAGAATTCTAGAGGGGAAAGGTCACTTAATGACCATTAAATGCAGCTTTATGTTTACATATGGGTTTACCCTCATGTACAGATGGGTACAGTAAGGCCTGCAAAAGTAAGTGCCTGACCCATTATCACAAGGGTGGCTTGTGTCTGGATTAGATTCCCACGTGAAGAAAGGGAGCAGTGGGCACCTCAGACCCAGCGAGGTCACCCTTCCAGGGAGAGGCGTGGCCTTACCTGCAACTGAGTTGGGCCGTGGCATTATTAGCGAGCTGGAGCTCTGAGAATAAGGGACCGGACCATCTCCAACTGAGGCTTCGGCTTTGGGCAGCACGCTCCCCGCTGGCCCAGGGGGCTCCTCTTCTGCCACTGGGGAGCAATTATCTGCCCTGCGGTCATGGAGCACTCCCTTCTGTACCCCTAACCTTAGGCTTCCGTCCTTATTCCATTCCAAACTGGAGCCACTCCGGTCATCATTTTCCGATGAACTTGTAATTGTGGCTGAAATGAGAGACCAAAATACTTTGAAGGAAGCCAGGAATAGCTGGGGCTCTTGAGAGTTCACACACAGACACACAGACACACACACACACCATCCCCATGATCAATGGTTTTCTGGTCTGTGCAGATTATTATCAAACTATGTTTCATACATTGTATTTTAGTAAGTTAGAAGAATGTTGCTTATCAGGGGAAATAAACTGATAAATCATTCTACAGGGGAGGGGAAAGAAAACTCTGATAAGAAGATAATGAAAAAACTGTCTAAGAGTATCTAAGAGCTAACAGTAAATCTATGTAATTTGGAAATGATATATCCTGCCTTTTAACAAAGATGAATTGCTCACAAAGGAATTCAAATCTCATTAAATTCCTTTGAACCTTTAAGTATTTTTCCCAAATTAATAACATTTGTGCACAGAGAGAAGGGGCAGGGCAGTACAATGGTTAATGCAGGAAAGATGTAGGAGGAAAATCTATAAAACAAAATCCAATGATAAAGTCAGACAGAAATTTAATCCTTAGAATTAAACCATTACAACATCTGTTCAAGACATCCAGAGAGGCCGACTCGACTTTAATCCTTTAGCAGCCTAGGATGGAAACCTTGAGGAAACCAGGGACAGGAATACATAAGCATGAGAAGGGATACTTGATGGCAGAATTAATGTTTAACCTCTTCCAAGAAAACCAGGATTGAAAAGCATCTTGGCAAAAAAGGAGAAAAAGGGCAACATTCACTCTATAAATCTACAAAAAGCCACTTCTCACTTAGAGATACCGAGTCATATGTGATCCACTTGCAAACACAGGTCCCGCCATGGGTCCAACACTGGCTTGTGTCCTTGAGAACAGAGGCCAGGTCCTCTGATCTCTACTAGAATCCCAGCGGCCCAGGCCTTTAACTGCAAGACTTCAATGGGAGCATACTGGGTCAGAGTGTATTCAGGACCCAGACGCCTGGATTAAGCTGCTTCATCAACATACACACTTTATCAGCAGGCTGGTGAATTAGCTCCAACAGAGTCTGTTATCTGGGATCAAAGGGTCCAAAGTGGTTTTATTTTTACAATGCTCTTTATGGTTTAGGAGTAAAAACAAAACAATTTCCTCCTGTGATGTGACTGCAGGGTATCCTATCACAATTTTAAAACTGTCTTTGCTCCAGGATTTATCATCCACTGCTCCCTCCTTGTTTAAAAATCCCTCCTATCTGCTGAAGCCTCCTTAGAGGATTTACCATTAGCTGATCCCTTCCTTTTCTGAACAGCACAGGGCCTGGCCCATACTCAATGCTCAGTAAATGATTGCTTATTCAATGGATGAGCTCAAACTATGAAGGCAGGACATTTACTGTCACTGTTGCTGGTTCAGGATAGCTGGCACTGAGTCTTTAACCAAAGTGTAAGGTGATTTGGGATGGGCCCGTCACACCTTTAGGGGACTCCTAACATTTCCAAGTATTCTAGCAGGAGGATTACTACCAATTTCTCCATCTATTTGGAATCGATCAGTCTTCATTGTGCGTGTTTTTTTAAATGGGCCATTCATATAAGCATCGGTTTGTTAAGTATGACTCTTTCCATCCTAAAAATGCAGGTGGTGCTAGTAATAACAGTAGCTAGTATCTACTGAAGGTTACTGTATATCAGGGATTGTGCTAAGGGTTTCATAGGATTACCTTAATTTATTAATGAGATTATTGCCTCAATAGTCATTAGTTACTAATGATAATCTCTTAATAAGCTATGACTATCACAAACTTTCATTTAGAAGTCCAATGCTCAGGACTCAAAATGCTTTTCCTGAAGGCATGTTGTAATTAGCCAGGTTCCAAGACAACCCCAACATCTAAGTTACAGTTCCAGGGTGGGGGTGACTGATCTGGTTTTTAGGTTGTGGTTGTTTTATCTGAGGGATCATTTTCTTAAGGTGAAAAACAAGGTCCAAGTGACGTTCTTCTTCATTTGCTCTCCCTGCATGCCATGCACTTCTGAATCAAACCTCTATTTCAGACCTTAAGCAGTGGGAACAGGGACTCTACTTCATGTTACAAATGACAGCACTGGAAGCAGGATTTTAGGGGCCCCAGCAGCCGCCAGGCAGGGACAGTCTGGTCAGGGCTTGTGGACTGCAGGGACAGGCTGAAGACCCAGTTCTATCAGCTCGGCCACAAGTTCCCAGGCCCTGACAAGCTGCATCATTCAGGTCAGGGAGAGGGAGGGAAGGGCAGGGGGGTGGCAGGAGGCGAGGAGGAGAAAGGTCCCCAGCTGCAGCAACAGCAGCTGGGAAGAGAGGTCCTAGATGGGGCTGCAATTTCAAAAGGAGAATATTACATAAATTTATGTTTGTAAGTAGAAGACTCTCCCACTGCCCTTATGAAGTTCACCTAAGAGATGCATTCCAGTGTCCACCTTCAGCCCTGGTGAAAGGCAGGCAGGTGAGACCCTCTGAAGCCAGGCCCCTCCCACAAAGATGCTCCACTAAGACTGCCCCACTTCACAACCTTCTTCCCAGGGATCCCAGGTCAGGCTGCCAGCTGGAAGCCCAGGCAGCGAACTTTCATCTTGGTTCAGATATGATGAAGCACTGAAATAGATCCAGGAGGGGCAGACAAAGGCTCTAGTTTCCCCATCCAACCTAAGAAGCACAACAAATAGGACAACTCCACAGCCTCCAAGAAAGGGAAAGCAGGTCTTAAAACAAATGACCTGCTACTCAAAAATACCTGTTCTTCCAGGCTAACAGGAATATACTCCTGATTAAGTTAACACAGTCACCCTCAAGTTGACCACACAGGGCAACATCCTAAATATGATGATTAAAATAAAATACTCTGAAAAATAAGGGCTATTTGACATTTTCCAGAGCCTGGATAATCTTGAAAAGTCCCTTAACAACTGAAAAATTCTATCGTCTTGTTCCTTCAACTAGTACAGATGTCAAGAAAGTGCAAGTGTTAGTCACTCAGTTGAGTCCAACTCTGTGCGACCCCATGGTCGCCAGGCTCCTCTGTCCGTGGAATTCTCCAGGCAAGAATACTGGAGTGGGTTGCCACGTTCTTTTCCAGGGGATCCTCCTGACCCAGGGATCGAACCCAGGTTCTCCTGTATTGCAGGCGGATTCTTTACCATCTGAGCCACCAGCAAAGCCCAGTATAGATGCCAGTGTTCGTCAATTAAATCTTGCCACTTTTACTTCACTTTAATCATCACTCAGGCTGGGTCTCAGTCACTCAGCAAATAGGCAGGATTCTGCAAAACGAGTGACTTATTAGGCGTTATGGTTTATCAAGCTACCAGGTTAGGCTGTGCCTTGTAAGTTAGTATTAAATTAGGTTTGCTCCTTTACTCACGTGTGATGCTACTTCTAACTCTCCATGTAACCTGAAAACTCCCTTGAGGCAGGGACAGTGGGTCATCTTCCTCAGAAGTAACAGCACATTTACCCAGACCTACTCATGCACAGGGCTGTACCACCTCCAAAGCACTTTCAAATCATGTTAAGACACATACATGATCACCATAACATGTGAGAAGACGTGGAAAGGCTGAGAACCATCAACACTACTTCATGGATATGGAAACACACGGGAAAAACTAACCAAACTCACACACACACACAGGTTAGTGGTACTTCCATTACCTTCTGACTGCACACACAGTGTGTATTAATACTCCCTTTGCCTCACACGGTTCTCATCATGTAAAAGGAGTTGTGTAAAAGCATCTGTGGCTATATTGTAAAGTAATAAGCCTCCAAGTAAAATAAATAAGTTAATTTTAAAAAAGAAGCATCTGTGGCTAAAAAGTATTTTGCAGTTCATGAAACCTGCCTCGTTATAAATAGCCCCCGGGCAGCAGCTAGTAGAGAAAGATCAGTCATGAGGGAGCCAGGAGAGGGTCAGGGCTGCCTGGGAGGTGGGGGAAGCAGAGACAGAGACCCACTTAGTCATTAAACATTGTGCTCTATATGGCACTTCAATAACGCAACTCCTTCCTTCTCCTTCCTAGCCTTCCTCTCATCCCCTCTTTGCCTATAGAAGGTTCTATGTTAATGTTCATTTAAAATAGAATTTTTAAAAATAAACAGTAAAGTTCAGGGTCCAAAAGGTAGTTTGGTGGGATCTAAATCAAGTTGTAGGTTTAAAAGAACACCAGGAAATAATCTGACTATGGCATCAGTCCAGAATTGTTTAGGAGCTAAGGGCCATTGGTATCAAACGTATACATAGTCAGAGTTGAATTCTTTCTCCAAGCTCTGGAAAAGACAAGAGGTGAAAAATGCAAAGGAGCATGAGTTCAAACTCTGGCTTCTCAACTTTTTAAGAACCCACAAGAGGCTATCTCTCTGGGTCTACTACTAGGAATGGGCACATTTTTGTCTTTACTTTCCAGACATAATCTTGTATGTTTGTGTTTCTCTCTTTACACTGGCTACAAGTCCTGAGTAAAACTTTCTGCCCACTTTAAAGCAAAATTAATAAAATCTTATCAACCTGACTCCTGACTTCATCTTTTCTCTCACTTTTTACCCCAACTCACCTTGCCGCTGTTATTTAGTCACTAAATTGTGTCCAATTCTTTGCAACCCCATGGACTGTGTAGCCCGCCAGGCTCCTCTGTCAGTGGGATTTTCCAGGTAAGAATACTGGAGCAGGCTGCCATTTCCTCCTTCTGGGGATCTTCCCAACACAGGGACTGAAACCTGCATCTCTTGCCTGGGCAGGAGAATTGTTTACTGCTGAGTCACCGGGGAAGCCCTCCTCCACCCATACCTTCTTTGAAGAAGAAAAATCTCGATTTAGTAAATGCCTATGAGCATTTCAAATCCACTAGGGAGGAATGGAATATAAATAAATAAGCATCCCTAGGAAATAAGAACAACAATAGTGGCTAACGTGAATATTGTAATAGTGCTTACGGTACACAGGCCCTGTTCTAAACCTCCATCATATCTCACTCAGTACTTCCAACAGTCCCATGGGCAAGAAAGCCCTG